ATTTTCATAAAGTGTACCGTTAAATTATTATTCGAGGTGATCGAGTCAACTGAGACAGCCTGTATATGCATGTAAATATGTATATGTGCAACGTGATAGAATACAATTTCACGTGATGTGATATTAATGTGTTTCTACCTTAACCTACTACATACTAACTACTACCCTGAAACGTGTAAAAATAGTTACAGTTTGGGAATATTTTTCATAAGTAACCACTAAATGAAAGCTTTCAAGTTCTGAGATTTTATTAAATGTAGCTTTCAGCAGTATTTTCCAATTTTTTAAAAGTAGGAATATTCCCAAAAGATGGAATTATTCAGTAATTCCGAAGTCTCTTCTGTTATAAAACGATTAGTGGTTGCCATCGTCCGAACCAGTCTGTGAGGACTGGAACGACCGAAATAAGAAATGCTTTTTCAGTTATAAATAAGAACGTATTACCTACGATGTACCGACGACCCATGTTAGCTTTATTAGAGGGCTCATAAAGGGAATTATGCTATCAGAGTCTAGATTCGTTTTGTTTGTAATTTAAGTCTGGTATTTACGTCGGTGCGACGTTTGCGTGTACCCACGAAACGCTTTTGCTTATCTTCACATTAGCCTTTATCTCGGTTCTTCTACGCAGGACGGAACAGCGAAGAATTCCGTTTGGTCCTCGATAAGATTGCACTAGAAACCTATACAGGGTGTCGTCTTAAGACTGCCATAGACGATACGATTTGTCGTACGATAAGCTATGAGCTACTTTACAGTTAACCCACTCAACTTATCTATGTACAGGGGCGTAGCCAGATTATCAGTCAGAGGGGGGCAATATAATTTATTTCCACTCGGAAGGGGGAGGGGGCAAAATTTAATTTTTTTCTCCTAAGGGGCTGGAGGGGCAACAAAATCTAATTTTTTTCCTCTAGAGTAGTGCGAAAGTCACTTTTCTTCGGCTCAGGGGGGGGGGGAAGCTCCCCACCCTGCCCCCTGGCTACGCCTATGCCTATGTAGTATATTCTATGAGTGAAGGCAAACAGAAAATTTTGTATAAGCATAGAACTGGAAATACCTTATCCAAAAGTAATGATAAATACATTGTATTTTGTCTAAAAGTAGAACAGCAATTAGTGTATTAAATACTTTACCATGCCATTTTAATAGGATACCGTTGACCTTAAATTTTTTGAAGGAATTTAATGTCCAAAGAAGACTCAGGACTTGCAAGCACTTGAGTTTGCCTTACAAAGCTTGTTACCTTCAACTGTTTTAAAACATTAGCCCAGTTCAACTGTACGAGATACCCTGTATACGTGCTGGCCTGAGTGTGCGAATCGAAACCTGTTGTATGAATGTATACATAGAACGATATAGTACGGTTTAATAATCTGAACGTATCAGTTTGTCAAGCAACTTTTATCAGAGAACGAAAAAGGGAGCAGACAATGTAACTGGATTTTCATTGTACTGAATACTTCGTTGTTTTGTGATGGATATTAAATGAAACTAGTTTACAGACAATCTCAATAATCGTCCAGAGTTGTTACGAGTATTATTTGTTTCCTAGATATCAATAGTTTACAGTAATTTTAAAATTGCAGACTATGTTTGTTATAACCAAACTGCAGATTTTATACAGTTATAAGGTGGACGCAAAATTTTAGGTCATCGTAAAAATTCCTATATTCATCACATGATTTTATAAACACTCTAGTAATAAATGTATTTCCTTTAACATTCAGTTGAATAAATTACTGAAATGAACAAACGCGATAGAATAAGTTGATTTCTGATAATGACAGTGGTATACACTGTTTGATACAAAATACTCCAATAAAAGATATAAATTTAATTATCACGATGTACTCCAAGTTAGCAGATCATTCAGATGTTATCCACTCTGATTATTACTTACGTCGGAATATTTCTTAACGTATGAACAATTTGAGAATGGACATCGTGCGGATGAGCTCAATAAAATGAAACGAGTGATTGTTGTTACATTAAATAACGAGTGAAAATAGATTAAAGCAACAATTTCAATGAAGTTTAGTAACGTTGTAATTCGATTCGAATTTCCATTTTTGTGAATTTATTTACATGATTATATATTTGTATAAATATTTGTCCACTATTCATGAGCTATTTGCGCTAGTAACCGCTTATTTGTCTATTCAAAGGTATGGGATCATTTCTTTTACGGGTAAAGGAAATATAAAGATTAAGCTTTTTATTCACTCAAACTAGAGTATAATTTTGATACAATATTTGTGATAACAAATGTTCTAGACTAGCCGTTTCTCGTGGTTACGTTCGCGTTAGCTTCTAAAGTTACTTTTATATCTTTTGGAGTTGAATTTTAAAAAATCACCACATACAGGTTTGTTTTTTTTTTGTAGAACCTATTCACTAAATTTCACATCTCCAGTTTTGGTGGATGTAGAGATATGGTTATCCTACGAGGTAACAACTTACACCTTCTTCACCCCTATATGGGTTGAATTAAAAAAGACGCTCAAACACGTGTTTATTTTTAATGAAAAATTAACATGTCGAACTTTACGTATGCAACTTTATCGACTCGTGGGTTGTGGGATATTGATATTCCTCTAAAGAAAAATTTGACTTTAGGGTTTGTATTTTCAAAAATCTTTTCTTATCCCTTGCCTACCACCTAAGCCTTTGTATACAGAGTGAGTCAATAAGAATTACTACCTAAAATAACTCGTTACCTATTGATTGTATCAAAAAACGTTTTAATGAATTATATATAGCATTTTAAAGGATGCATCGGATGGATACAATTTTATTTTTTTGTATCTTACTTTTTTTGAGATCTCAAGGTGATCTTGAGTTTTTTCAAGGTCAATTTATCTTCTTTTTAATAACATATTATTGCCAATATATGGACACATTCAACGATTTATAGCATTATGGTACTAAAAAAAGATGCATTGACCTTGAAAAAAGTCAAGGTTACCTTGACATTTAAAAAAAAGATATAATGCAATTAAATTGTATCCATTAGACGCATCTCTTAAAATGTTATATAATTCATTAAAACTTAATTAACAATGACTTCATTCTTCGAGTAGTATATTTACATCTATATTCATCAGTAGCATACATTTTACGTAGTTTATACAATATGTATACTTTTCTACTATATTTACGTACTTTATACTATATTTATGTTATTATTATATTTACGTATTTATCTATTGTACGACTCTATATTGCAGAGTCGTGTGAATACCATATCCTCAGCGTTGGTTTTGCGTGTGAAGCTTTAGGTGAAATCGATACACAATAAATATACGTTTTTATCAATGGTTTTAGGACCACGTGCGCGTAGAATACAATGTATCTGACTAACCCATAAGCGATACGTGATACAGTTATTATCGGCATGCGATATGATCAGGTTTCGTTGCAGAGCTGCGTGAAATAATTTCATATCTTTTATCTACATATTTGATAATAAACTGATTATCGTCACTATTGTGTAAACTGCGACGGCGAGTTTTGTATTAAGTTCTGATTCCTTTGTTTCGAGAACCTAATCGGAATGTTTCGGTATTAAATGTTTCTAAGACATGGAAATCTGGATCATTATTTTGGATCGATGCTTGTTGAATGACTGCTAATTGCTGATCGTAAACTAAAGATTTAGCTGTAGATAAAGGTTATAAAAGGGATTATAAATAGGTTTATAAATTTCTTATTTTCAGAGATATTGTGTATTACACTAAATTCAATAATATTTATTTTTCTTCTTCAAATGATATCCTTGCTCTTTCTTCTTTATTAGCCTTGTAAACTTGCTGCCTTACTCTGCGTCGTTCCATCTGCCACGGTACCCTTCCATTTTGTCGTGATTCCTCCAGCTTTGAACGTATGCAGTACATTTGCTTCATACGGTCTTATTGGCATTTATATACAAATTGTGCGCCAAACTGTGTTTATGGTTGACTTACTATTTGTTAATGCAAGCAGCAAATGGGCATACACAGGCTGTCTCCGAACAGGTGGTAACACCCGAAGGGAGATGATTCTTCATGCAAAAATAAGTTGAACATATAGAATAACATTTTTTCGTACGATGCTTCGTTTACGAGAAAATCGAATTTGAAAATCTGTTGGATACGCGTGCATTAGAATAGGACTTGGCTAATGCGTCTGTTCGTTACATCCTCTTTCTACTGATCGCCAGTACGAATACATACATACAGTAGCGAACAAAACAATTACCCCTCTTCTGATTTTTTTTAATTTTCATTATTTCTTGAGAACAACTTAAAACCTTAATATACTGAGTTTTATACAGCGTTTAATTCACTATCGGAATATATGTATACATATATACAATATATCTACTAAAGTTTTAAGTTGACGTTACGACAAAATAATAATAAAATAAATCGCACAAGTGGCAACTTCTTGGTCTGCTACTGTGCGTGTTAGATAAATGTTAGTATGTAATTATTTTTGTATTATGTTTCAATTCCAAGAAATCAATTTTGAAAATTTATTTTAATATGTAGATTTTAATGGTTTTGACATACACTGGTTAGAATTATTAATCAGAGGCCTTGATTTTTACTGAGGACCACACTTCTCCGAGATTTTGGGGTTAGCGTCGTGCAGTTTCACCATAGTCCTCTTACCAGAAGACGCTCTTACCTTCACTACTCCGTGGTCAGAACCTCCAGGAATTATGTCCTTATTCTTAAGGCAGTTTCCTTGCTATTTTTAAGGTTCTCCCTCCTGTATCATATAAACAAGTCAGCGTCACCGGTAACTGAATGACCCAAAGTAGATCTTCCGCTGCCATGCGACGTCTGTTTAGTCTCATGCACCCTGTTTTAAGGTCACACGCATTCCAAACACCTGTCATAAGTCCTCTATCCATCATCGACCCCACTTAAAAAACGTTGACGCTAACACACTATAAATATATGAAAATGGTGGTCCACTAATAATTAATAACTAATAATTTCTTTCTGTTACAGGATAAAACATAAATCGCCAGGATAAACATAATTCAGAATGGGGGCTATGTTCAGGAGCGAGCAGATGGCACTCTGCCAGCTGTTCATTCAGCCAGAGGCTGCCTACCTTTCTATCTCCGAACTTGGAGAAACCGGTACGGTGCAATTTCGTGATGTAAGTTCATTTAAACGTAATCTTTGGTTATTATCTTCTATCAGTGACATTAACCTACTGTCAGTCCAGAAGCATCATTCCACCATTACAAATTACAGACTCCTGAAATAATTCAACAGAGGGGAATAAGTACGCGCGCGATACATTTGTAATGACAGAACGGTATTTACTAATATGCACAATATGCACTATATGCACAATTTGATCAGTTTGTTCGAATCTTTCTTGTGCACTCAGATTTACATCAGATGAGGCTTTAGCTTATTTATGACCTGTGGTTGGTAGAATAGGATATTTGCGCAAATTCGCACATGTATTAATTAATTTACGAATTATTAATTTTAGATTAATTATTCGTAATTACAGTACAATTTTATTTACAGTACAAGATGTTTATTAGGTCTAAAATAAACTAATAATTCGTATTCAACTTCTTACGAAGTTTCTATTACAAATAAAAAATTGTAGCTGGCCTAGGTTTCCGTTTGTGCATTCGTCTTACAAAAAGGTTGACTAAATGAGTTGTGTACATGTCTTTAGCAGATCTGGATATAAATCTGTTGAAACTCAAAATGAAAAGTGATGTTTCAAACTCTTAATGATATTTCAGAAATAACATAAGTAACGTAAACACTTTCTTTATAGTCAACAATCTACAATCTGTAAAATAATATATTATGAATTATGTATGAATATGTATTATATGAAGTTTATAATTTCGATATAAAAATAATATATACTATATATTTCGAATAAAATAATAAATAATCTAGAATTTTAGACGTAAAATCTAATTCGTATTCCGAAATTGTAAAATTTATTCATTAATCTACATATATTTTTTAATTAATATTTAAAATTTTAGTAATTGGTTAACATTGTCGTGTAATTCAATTTTTAAAGTAATTTTTTTTAATAACAGTTTTGTAAGTGACTGGCTGTATGATCCAGGTTATTTGCAGATTTAGTTACAAGATTAAGGTGGCTGATATTTTGAGAACAATGGTTTAAATGCATGTTCTGATGAGATCGTAATTATAATCTTTATCTATCATTGATGTTTTCATAGCTCAATAGCGATGTCAATTACTTTCAACGAAAGTTCGTTAACGAAGTTCGTCGATGCGACGAAATGGAACGAAAACTTCGATACATCGAAGCGGAAGTAAGGAAAGACGGAGTGCCTATTGAAGAGAATCTGACTGAATTACCACGAGCACCGAACCCACGCGCCATTATAGACCTCGAGGTAAAATATTTTGTAGATCATCCTATCGAGAACAGTTCAAAATAAGTAGTCTTCAATATTTAATCAGAAATCTATTATATTTTATAAAATGACGACATTAGACTCTTGAAATTGTCTTCTCCTGTTTCATAAAAATATGATAAAACGTTTGAAGAGTGACATAAACCTAAAACCTCCGGAAGTGAGTGAACTATATAAAATTAACTAATACTGGCAGTAATTAATAGCTTTATGCTATAAAGTTTCATCTCACTTTCTAATGACAAATACTAGTTAACAAAGCAATTATTCAGTACAAAGAAAGCAGGGGAAAATCTTTTCCAAGAAGTCGATTTAAATTTATAACATTATTTTCCAAATTTGCATGTAACATTATTTTGTTCATTCATGTAACATTGATTATTTTGTAGAACAGTTCTGTAAAATTCCTTGGCCGAAGAATCACAAACTTCCTCGGTTGGAACTTATTTCGTCTAATGAAATTCGTTTGAAAGTTAATATAATCTCCGATGTATGGCAGAATAAATCGGCAATTTCGCGTCTAATAACATGATAAAAATATAAGTGGAAAGAAGTACGCCTTTATTGGCTGTTATTGCAGGCGAATCTCGAAAAGACGGGGAACGACATGTTAGAGCTGAGCCAAAACGCGGTGAACCTGAAGAGTAACTATCTCGAGTTGACGGAATTACGGCACGTGCTCGAGAAGACCCAAGTATTTTTCACGGAGGTAGCTAAAGTAGTTCAGCAGCTTTTGCTCATAACATCGTCCTCCTTCGTGTAATCGATGTTACCGTTCTGACGGAGAATCAAGATTCGTCTCATCTTCTTCTATATCAACAGGAAGAGGCCAATGACTCGATCACCAGGACGTTAATTAACGAAGAAGCACAGATTCCGAGCAGTACCGGTCGGGGACGTCTTGAGTACGTTTTCTTTCAGTAATTATAAAGGTCAATGTTTTGATTAATTTCATATTGTATACATACAACCACCACACAGCTTTCGTTTCAAAGATATAGGGGAAGGTTGCCGAATTTGGATCATCGCCTAGGTTGGACCATTACTGTAACTTGTCATGTGTAAGCTATGTCTGCTGTATGATAGACAATATGTGTATGATAGTAGTGATTGCATTAACTAACTTACATTAGTGTTGGTTTGTAGGTTTTCCTCAGTAGATAGATGTGATGTTATCATTAATGATTTACATAAACTAACATAAATATTAAGTTTCTTACACTTAAGAAATGAAGAAATTGAGAACCATTCCGTCATTATATAAAAAAATGCAATTCTTTTACTATCAAAATTGTTTTGCCGCCGAGACAAAAGTTCAGCCATAGTCATATCATTACTGAAACGGTTCTAGGATTCCCAACAGTCGGAGATTATGATGTGAAAGGACTTGATCAGATTGCGAATGACAGCAAGCACAGTCTCAGAAGATCTATTAAAAACCGGTTGAATAAATATATGTTTTCTTGAACGCTTAATGCCAACAAAAATTCATTGTCCCATAACACATATGATTCTTGACAAAAACTAGCCCAATCAACGGTTGTATTTGGCGAAATTCCCAATTAATTTTCTAGAACCTCTTGTCTTGGATTATCAAATAGTGTACGACACTTTATAGTACTTTATAACATGAAATGTTTCCGTGAAGTGAACAGACAGATTACACTTACTACAATAGAAATATAAAGTAAATATTAACAATATTTGAAACTTATATAGGTAAAAATAAAAAATAATTGTCACGAAATACGGACAGTAGACAAACATCGAGCAATCCCGGGAGACTACAACCTTACGGGGTATGACACACATTAAAATATGTTTGCGTATATTTTTAAAACTGTAAAGTTGCGTGATGGTTATATCTATACAGGGTGTTAATAAAAAATGTGGGACCTTCACAGAGAATGAGTTCGACATGCTAAACTCAGGACAAAAATAAAAAAATGTACATAATTGTTATTAAGTCAACGTTTTCATTATAATTTATGAGGGGTGGTTTTTGTATGAACGTCTCATTTGCTTTTGTTTATGGCTATATGTGAATTATACAATTAGCATTTCTTTCATATATCTTAAAGCTTTCAAGAATTTAACGCAGTTATTACAATTACCATGTTCGTGAGAATTAATTTGGCCAACTGATATTTCCTACTCAAAGTTGCTAAACACTCTTGAATATAATTAGGGCGTTGCATAAGCGAGGGACCCATAATCAGTGTAAATAAAGTCATATTCGCGAAACTAAAATTATCATGTCTGCAAAAATTTACATGATTTGTTACTTGTGATGGTCCAATAGAGATTAAATGTAGAAGCTATTTTATACACTTTATACCTCAATTCTATATACATGTCTTAAACTAATAAGTATTTTATTCACACATCTAAACAAAGATATGTAAATAAAATACTTCATAAATGCTTATGTAGACAATATACAATAATTAAGTAATTTAGAATTATGCTACTACGAAATGATAATAATATTAACTAAAAGTTATATGAAAAGATTTGCACATTAATTTATTAAAAAGTTTCGCAATATTTTAAATAACTAAAAATTATAGAGTCAGATGGTTATTCAAAAAATTGTAGATTACTAAAATTTTGTTAACAAATTTTTTAAAAGTAAACGTTAAGAAGTTTGTTAATTATTAAGTAATAAAAGTTTTTTTCTTATTTCAATGGAATTTGTCTTTCAGATTCGTCGCAGGGGTAATAAATCGAGAACGGGTACCAGCTTTCGAGCGAATGTTGTGGCGGATATCACGAGGAAACGTATTTTTACGTCAGGCTGAACTGGAAAAGCCATTAGAAGATCCAGCTACCGTTAGTCCATACCTTCCACTTTCTTTTTACTCGAAACGTCGCCTTATCACAAGGACGCTTCTGCTATACCGTTAAGATGGTCTTGCGCCCCTTAAAAAATAAACCAAATATTCTTTTAAATATGACACAACAAATCATTTACAATCATAAAAAAATTAAAGTGATATCAAAATTTCCTGTCTATAAGAATCATAATTATTTCCTAAATCATTATTTAGTATTCATAAAAAAATATTAATCTGTTTATTTAATATTTAATAATTAAATGATATTAAAAAGTCAAAAAGTACCTATATGAAGTAACTGAATGAATTTGTTTTTCAAATCATCATTAGGGGGTCTTCTTAAGGAAGGAAATCAGTGTGACAGCTACGAAAAGAGGCTATTTTTTTATTCAGAGCTGCCATTGGAATGCTAGGCTGACGCCCATTTTTCTTCTACTCTTTCTGGGCCGTTCACGTCATTAGTTACTCTGAATTTTATATAAAATTTGGGGAAAAACTAGTTTAAAATACATACATTCTTTTGCCAATGACGAAGTTCTAAAAAACTTTTACTTTGTCAAAAGAAAAGCTCCCGAAAGTAGTCTTCTTTCTTAGTCGTCACACTGGTTTCCCTCTTACAGTAAATTAATTCAGTTGGCATGAATAGATAATGGACTGAAATTCGTCTGACAGTGTTTGTGTAAAAACTGCAATATTTCAAAACCAAATTTTAAGTTCGTTCGGTGAACCGTTATTTGATCAAATAACCGATCGCACGATTATTCGATCATGGAAAGCATTCAGTTCAACTGCTTGCAATTATCGAATTGTTTTAGGGGAATCAAATGTACAAAACGGCCTTTGTTGCCTTTTTCCAAGGAGAACAATTGAAGAGCCGTATCAGGAAGGTCTGCAGTGGTTTCCACGCTTCTTTGTATCCCTGTCCGCATAGTCACGCGGAACGCGAAGACATGGTCAAAGGCGTCCGCACTAGACTCGAGGATCTAAACTTGGTGAGACTGTTAAACGTGTTTAATTTTTATTGTGACAGAATTACGATTTACAGTAGTCTCCGCTTAACAGACGCATTTTTTCCCGCTTAATTTACGCGACTTGTGCTTAGTTATGTTAAGCGTAGTTTGGATTAGGTTTGGGTTAGGTGTTGTTAGATATGTGCAAGATCAAGGTTCCATTATATAGCAGATCTGTATTATATATTTATATTGCACGCTACAGGTGTGAAACAATTTTTTGTATTATCTTTTCCCGTAGGTTCTAAATCAAACACAAGATCATCGCCAACGTGTGTTGCATACTGTCGCCAAAGAATTGCCCAACTGGACCATCATGGTTAAAAAGATGAAGGCCATTTATCACATAATGAATCTATTCAACATGGACGTTTCGAAAAAGTGCCTTATTGGAGAATGCTGGGTTCCAATGGATGATTTTAATATCGTCAGGAACTGCTTGACCGAAGGATCGGTTAGTTTTCGCATGAAGTTATTAATAGTATTTTTTATTTTCTAAGGAGAAATTCCAATACATTTCAATGATTAATTTACTGCATAATTTCTGTAAATTTTATGTTCTTAACATTCTACTGTATTTAGCGTCTCTGTGGTAGTTCGATACCATCTTTTCTGAATGTAATCTACACAGACGAGAGCCCACCGACATTTATCAGGACAAACAAGTTTACCAGAGGTTTTCAAAACTTGATCGACGCATATGCCGTGGCGTCGTATCGTGAAGCTAACCCAGCGCTATACACGATTATCACTTTTCCTTTCTTATTTAGTGTCATGTTCGGTGATGCTGGCCATGGTAAGTAAATAGAAATATTAAGGTCTCTGATAGAAACTAATAAGACTGTGAAATAAAGTGTAGAAATTGTAGAATAGTGTTTCGAGAAATGCTCATTGCTAGGTCCTTTAACCACTTGAGTGCTGTAGTTCATGGCAGAAATCAGTTCGACATGTGCCAAGCGATAGGATCGTGTATCTTGTATCGAAGTGTAAGGTTTCTAATAACCTTTGGTAGTTGATGTGACATAAAGGAATGGGTGAAAAAGAAAACAATTTCTTACGTTTATAGTCGTAGTTACACTTCCCTAACTGATTAGGTAACATTCCTACACTTAGCGTTTAATAATTTCAAACTACCATTTAAGTGTTTATGTTCTGATAGCACTTTCTGTGGCACAAAGTCCTAATCTAGATTTAATCAGGACCAAAATAAGGAAGTGGGCTTAGAACAAATAAGGATCAAAAGCATGCTTCAGAAGATGTCCCTACCCAGTTCTACGTTTTGAGCATCTATTGAGGCTGTCATATATTTTTAACAGTGCACTAAAAATATTATAAACTTCTCGATTGCAAACAAGTGTAGAACATCGTGTAGACGGATATTATATAAAAATACTTATTCTTTAATATATGGTCGGTTAGAAAAGAATTAATACATATACAATGAGTAATAAAACGGTATTACTTCATATTACAGTAAAATATATGTATAAATGTCAAAAATAAAATAAACTGTTGATTTAGTACATACAGTTTCTTATACAATAGAAGAGTGAATTGTGATGCCGTGAAAATATTCGGGCATTTGTTATGGTTAAAAACGTTTTAATGCTATTTCTAATTCTTAAAAACTTGGGGAACAGTGTTTGCGAAGACAGTGCTGAATTGTCGTCTAAAGATGTTAGGAGCTGAATATTCCTTGGTATCATTTCGACTCTGTGTAGAATGAGTCCTAAAAGTAAGAACACACATGTCGAAATACCGCAATTAATAATATTTCATTATGAAAAAGAGTGAGTACGGGAAATAGCAAGTCTCTTGAAGCTATCCAAGAGTACAGTATGTTACATCGTTAAACGATATCCAGATGAAAATAGAATTGACTTTCTAATGGCTGCCTGAAAATGCTTAACGTTCGTGATGGATGTTCAACTATTGAAGAAATTAAGAAGGATCCTCAATTATGTCGTCCGAAGAGTATTCAACGTCAGAGGACTACCATGGACAAATAGTTTGGAAAAATCCATCTATTAATACGGTGAACAGGATAAGGAGACTTTAGTTTCTAAAAGACTAGCTATCGAATGGAAGTGAATGGTGGGGCAATGTTATATTTGCAGATAAATGTAACTTTAATGTCTATGACGCTGATGCGAGAGTGGGGCAAAAACGAAAAGAAGAACTTAATCCGAAGGACTTACAAACATAAGTGAAATACATATACCTGCGGATCAGTCACAGGGCTACGTATCAGTCATGGTGTCGGAATGTATATCTAGTTTTGGTGTACTTATGGACAAGTGAACCTGTAGGTGACTCATATATTAAGGATATTGTTGACAAAATTAAATATTTAAACATTTAAAAAAAAATTTAACATAAAGTGCCACCAATGTGGGGATAAGGGAGATTAAAATTTTATGAAGATAACGATCCCAAACCCTAGGAGCCGATAGTGCAAGAAGTTTTGCTTTATCATTGTGCAAAAGTCCTACATCCATCTCCACAATTACCTGACTTTAACTCCATTGCGAATCTATAGGATGAACTAAATCGTAGATTTCGCAAAACAACGATGAACACAAAAGAATAATTGAGAAAATGTCTAGCAAAAGAATAGCAATAAATTTGCATTGTAACAGTCGCGTTGTCGGTAAAAAGGTGACGACGCGACGCAGCGGAGACAGACGGAAAGAACGGTGACGGAAAAACTTATGAAGACACTCAGTATTTCTTGTTTCTGGATCGGAGTAGCAAGGACCCTTTTCCTAAGAAAGTGTAAATATTTTACTCTTGGAGTTTAGAAAGAAAGACTTGGAGTTAGAAGGTTCGACGAGTTCGGGGACGAAGTTTTGGTTGTTAGTCTCTGCCCACAGGATAAGGCATTTGGGGGTAAAACTGGGGTGTGCTCCTCTCGTTATAGTCAGTGGCACCTATAGCGTGGTCGTAAATTAAAGCATTAAGCGGCGGCACCCATTGATGTAGCCGCACCCAGGGCCGTGCGTGTCTTCCAGAAGTTCGCTCCTGCTCATAAGTATTAGGACACTTATCGAATATGCAATAAAACCATTTATTTGTTTGTAACAACAAAGCATTACGAATTTGTTGAAAGCGTGACATAAATATTGTTTAGGGGATATTAAATTTCGATGAACAACGGTTATGCTACGATGCAGTAATAAACGTGACTTGAAATATAGAATTTTCACAAATCTCATTCCTTTCATTTCATTTTCTTCATACAAACTAGGTGTCCTAATACTGATGAGCAGTAGTGTATGTATTTACCTTGACTCGTAGGCCTCAAAAGTCATTTAAATTTTCCGCTTACATTCCTTGCTGAATAACAATTGCTCTATTAGTAACAACAAAGCTATAGTTGTTAAGGATTAGGACGCATACGGTTTGCTGAGTTGACATCGTACGGCCCTAAACGTGGTTTCAACTTCTTATGTCCCCCTAACTGTTGTTTCATACATTCGAAACATGTAAAGTTTCATGCCTGACAGATTTTACGACCAGGCTGTATGAGTTCCGTCTACTACTATATCTGCACCGTCGAGTGTACTAAACTGTTAATATTATGTATACGTAGACTTGTTTTAGAATATTTAAAAACTCAAGCTACAGCGTCGACTGATTAAACAAAAAAAAAGTCTAACATGCCAAACCGTTTGAAACATGTTATTGATTATAGTATGATGTATTCAACCAAGGATTAATCTTTGTAAATAAATTAACAGTATTTTTATTTTTGACATCTATAGAATATACTGTACCGTATGGCGTATTACCACTTTTATTATTCGTTGCCTATTTATATACATATTTATTTAAGATATATTATTTAAAATGTAGAGCGTAGAAGTCAAAATTATATCAATGACTGAATATTTTTCTGACCAACTGTATGTACGTTTATAGTAAACGTGAATTGTACTGGAATATTTAAGAAATTATTGAACAGTGAGATAATGTAATTTTATTCTAAACATAAATTTTTAATTCAGGTTTGATTATGACCTTGTTTGGTCTATTTATGATTCTGATGGAGAAGAAGTTTTTGGCGCAGAAGTCGACGTCTGAAATTTGGAATATATTTTTTGCCGGTCGTTATATTATACTTCTGATGGGTATATTTTCTATTTATACCGGCTTTATCTACAACGACGTGTTCTCAAAATCACTTAACATATTCGGATCTAGCTGGAACATAGTGTATAATAAGAGCACCATACTGGACAATGATTTCCTTCAGTTGGACCCTAAAGTTGATTATAAACAAGTTCCATATCTATTCGGTATGGATCCACTTTGGGCACAAGCCGAGAACAAGATTATATTCTTGAATTCGTACAAAATGAAATTGTCGATCATTTTTGGTGTCGTGCACATGATCTTTGGCGTCTGCATGAGTGTTGTCAATATTATGTAAGTTTGGCTACTAGAATTACAATGTGTACAGTTGTAATTCATATTGTTACCAGGTTAATGTTTCTAGCATCTTCTGAGCTATAGGAATATTATTATTCTAAAATTTAGATATCCTCAACATTCTGTACATACATGTATATGTATAGTATTAGGTCTACCGGAAAGTTCTGTCCGTTTTTGAATTAAAAGAAAATAATACATTTTCAACACATTTATTAATATTTATTGAACAATATAATTTCCATCGTTTAATCATTCTGTACAATGGTAGAAGGGGGCAGCCATATTTGTTTCAAACGAACACATTATCGGACAGAACTTTCCGTTAGACCTAATATATACCCACTTGTGAACATTACTGATCTAGATATAACTTCAACCTAATTTACCCATAATCAGATTCAATTTTTGCTAAGCTTGAATCTAACTCAGATCTAGTCCATATGAATTTTTATTCAAAAAAATTCTAGAACCTATCTTTTCTCCTTTTCTTACATATGTTTGATTTAGTATTCTAATGGGATGAAAACATTGTATTTTCATTCTATTCTTTCTGGGCAGTATTAATTCGTAACTTTGATTTTAGTCTCTTATATGAAATTAGAATTGATATTTGCATCAATTTTAAAGATTATTTAACTTTGTAACAAATAAAGACTTGCAGAATGTATTAACACTCTTCATTTCTCTTCAGGAATTTCAAGAAGTATTCAAAATTCTTCCTCGAATTTTTGCCACAGCTGCTCTTTCTCATTCTATTGTTTTTCTATCTGGTAGTTCTGATGTTTGTCAAATGGGTCTTATATGATGCTGCTTCTCCAGGTATATACTTTAAACTTACGTGCTTAATTAACTTTTCAATTTAGGTAATATGACAACTAATTACAATATAATTCTAATCATACTTCAATAAGTATAATAAATTGAATTGTAATGTTTATATTTTAAATGTATGTTGAAATAACACTGCCTTATTTTTCCTTAAAAATTCACGGAAAGGACAACTTATTATCTCGATTTCACAATTTGCAGACAAAGCGTATTCTCCAACATGCGCTCCTTCAGTTTTGATTACATTCATTAACATGATACTGCAAGGTCACGCCACTATGCCAAAGGGGTGTTCAGAGTACATGTTCCCAGGTCAGGCCATACTTCAAAATGTCTGTGTTGTACTCGCGGTATTGTGTATACCCGTGATGCTCCTCGGAAGACCTATTCTCTTTTTAATAACGAAGAGGAACAAATCACCAGTAATTCATGTAAGCACATACATATAATACAAAGTATTATACATTGTAATAAATACATAGTGTGTCATAAAATTTGTAATCACTTTATACATAATAAAGACAGCAAAACTTTATGTCGGGTAAGCATTGATATAGTAAGGACAGATGCAACTATAATACATACTCTGTGGCAGAGTTGGGCAGAATTTTATTCGAATAATACACAGTGAAAAGCAGCAGTATCTAAGGGTGTCATCTTGAGCTTTAAACAGTTAATGAGATTAAATAATTGTTCGACAAATGTCGATTCATTCATAAAGAAGTATTATTTTATTATAAAAATTGAAATTTTCACATTTAAACAATTACAAATGACGAAATACTTTTTTTTATCTTTTATTCGTTATTCGAAACTTTTTATCTAGATAATGAGTTTGCCCATCTTTGATCTGTGGTTGCTGTAGGGAGAGCAACATGGGAATAAGCAGTGTATTAATCTGTAGAGTTATATCTTTGTCAGTATAATTTCTTCATTCTTTCCTTATAGAGCAATGGAACAACCCAAGAGACCGATTTGCAGTCACCTATTCCACAAGCGATACCTACGACCAGTGAATCAGCCACAGGTGGTCATGATCATGAAAACGAATCTTTCGGTGAAGTTATGATTCTCCAAGCCATCCACACCATAGAATATGTTCTTTCAACGATATCGCACACGGCTTCTTATTTACGTTTATGGGCTCTGTCACTGGCCCACGGACAGTTGTCAGATGTACTATGGACAATGGTGTTAAGGAGGGGTCTAATGGCCAGTGAGAATAACTACGTAATGAGTGTAGTTTTATTCGTTATATTCGCCGTTTGGGCATTCTTCACCCTTGCCGTCCTGGTTATGATGGAAGGCTTGTCCGCTTTTCTCCACACTCTTCGACTTCATTGGTAAGTGCAAATCAAATTTGGCGTCTTATTTTGTGCGTGCGGATGTTGGAACGAATTTTCTTGAACATCAATTGAAATTTAAATTTCGGCGACAAAATTCAAAATTTATACAGATCTAACTTGAAAAAATTATATTAGGAAATATCGTTTGAAACAATATTTTCTAACAGTGGGAACTCACTTCAGGAGACACAGAAACAATTAAAAATGTTTATATACATGTACCCCATTTGATTTTGTAACCGATGTATAACCATTATTGTGCATCAATGACTATTAATGCCAAATTGAGCTATGCAGTATACATGTAAGATTATTATTTGCGAGGGAGTAGTTTAGGTAATTTCGCTGAAGCAAAATTCTCTCTTCCGTTAAGCAGTTGCACGTTAATTGAAGTATAAAAATGGAGTACAAAAATGGGTATAACTCAGGAAGAAAGTCAAGTAGGACACCTGAGTCTCTGAACTTTTTTCATTGTTCTCGTGTTCTCCGTCCACCACTGAAGTAGGTTTCACTTTTATAGAGGGAGTTAATAAAAATGTGGGACACTTTCACAAGATGGATTCTATATGCAAAACTAAAATGAAAATCAAGAATGACAACGTTGCGTTCGATGCTTCATTTCTGAGTTACGAATTGTTGAAAATACGGGCGAAATACGCGTAAAATATCTCTGAAGAGTATCAATATCATTTTCGTTCATCAAAGTTTATTTTACATGAAAACATGAAATGACATTGTCGTTCGTTATGTTTAGTAATATTAGTTGAATAAAGAACAGTAGGACAATCGTTTATAATAATTTATTCCATAAGAAGTTCAAGAGCTTTTGAACGTTACCCACGTATTTTCTATAGGGTGGAATTTATGAGCAAGTTCTACGATGGACAGGGCCACCCTTTTCAGCCATTTTGTTTCAAGACTATTTTAGACGGCGAGGACATCGAAGAGTAGGCCATCTCTGGTCAACAACAAATCTACTTAGACACGTCTGTTATATTACGCGGAAACACTCATTTCTGTTTTGTAATTAATTCATCAGTATAGAAAACAACATATTGAAAAAAGAATTAAAAATCATTTCAGCGCGGTATTTTTCGCGGAATTCAATTGTTAAGTGAATACTTTTTGTATAAAATATTGTTCCTTGTAAAATTGTAAGGCAGCAGTATATCTTATACTGTCAAAACTCATATTTAAGCAATGCTTCTGACATCCTTTTCGGATATTTTCAGTCATCGTCTTCAATGGTCTGTCAATCATTGTTGTGTTTAAAAACGATACTGTGTTCGAAAATATATTTGGTGCACATGAATCTTACATCCAAATTTTAAAATCATATTTTGAGTCAATTATTAGTAGGTTAACTACTTAAAGGAAAAATTATTTCATCCGCTAATATGTGATTTTTGTATGGTTGTATTATAGTTCATTTGATAAGGCAAATGAATATTTATACCGTGTATCGTATAAAATTCTTGTTAAATTATTAAATATTGTTAAATATTAAATTTTATACCGTTCGTATTAAACATTTTAAAACCATGCACGGATAAAAATTTTTCAATTTTACAGAAACTAGATTATATTAATCAACCAGACATATAAGCAATCTTTTTCATGTAAATGTGTACCATGTTTCTGTTATTAAATAAACTTATATAGATGGAAAATAAACACTGAATACGTGCACAGCGTAACAGAACAGAAACTGACTGTGTTATACATATACCAGTTCTTTTAAGAAATTGGATATACAAATCTGAAAAGTATAGAATGTACATACAACATTGTTAGAGTACAAATTATTCATAGTGATTGGTAGAAAGTATTTCATTCCTTTACAAATAAACAAATGACATCCTTAGAAATGTATCCAATACAGGTCAATTATATTACTATAATGTCAAGGAAGAGTGATACAAATATATATAATTATATTTTAACAATACTGTTGCATTGAATTGATTGAATTCCCGTCACCATTTTATATTTTTTACTGTTACTAATGAATATCGTTTATCTCCAGGTACAATATGAATCGTTAAATTGCGAATATTTATCGAAAACACACATTGTTATAAATGTTTCTTCGAAAATCAGAATCAAAGGAAATAATAATTTATTTTATAGGGGGGTTTTCAATGTGAAATTAAAAGTTCGAGGCAACATCTTTTGTACTGATCACAGCTAAGCTGATTTCATACTCAGAACAATTGGATTTTCCACAGATTTATATGAATACATTCTTGAATCAAGCATCCAAAATGACACGAGGCACAGTCTTCGTTCGACCTCCAAAGGTTTCCCATCAGACTAATTGTAAGACACAGACTAAGTTGACGCGTGTACGGACTATCACTGCTTCAATTTAAAGACGAACATTTACCTGAAAATCGACTGACACTTATCTATTAGATAAAATTTTATGAAGGTTAATTTTAAGTGATTGTTCATGGTGAACTAAGTTATGTAAAAATTACTTTTATAACAAATACTTTACACAATTCAAATAACAATACTTCGTTTTTAAAAGAAAAATTCACTATTGTCATAGTTATTTTCGAATTTCATCACGAAATATACAGATTATATTATACTGCTTATTCAACGAATTTCTGTATAGTCAATTCTCTTTTATTACTCTTCGTCGGCTTCTTCATTTCAAAATTTCGTAAACCTTTTCTTTCTTCTTTCCTTTCATTCAAAAATTCCAAAATCAGTAATCTGATTGTAAAATAAACGGTCTGATCTTAACTAACTGTAATTTCGCAGAAATAAAATATTTATGCTTACGATAGACGTGTTCGAATTTTTCTGGTGTTCAACGTGGTCACCTGGCGATGTATGTGAAAGTAAGATAAGTATCCAGGATGACCCATTTAAAAAAGTAAGGACCTGTTTTCGGGAAAATCATCTTTGAAAATTTATCCGATACGGATGCGTTCACATTTGCACTGCCACGTCATCCAAATTTGGATAGCACGTACATTTCAAAGAAGCTGGATGGTTTAAATACAGTTACAAAAATTTGCGTAAAATTGATACCGTAATATAATTTAAAATAAGACCAACAGCGTCTATCAACTAAACACGCATTTATTTTAGACGATTTATGACTTAAAAATGAAACAACGTGTGTCTGGTTACGTACGACCTTTTTCACTGTGGCAGTCAACGTGTCAATGCTTATAATAAGTAGAACCACCAAGCAATGAATAGACACGCAAACTAAGAAGGGAACATATCGAACATACAAGCTGATTTTGATGCCATTTATATAAAATATAGTTTATGGAAAAATATTTGACATGTATTTTTTTATATGGGCAATTGTCCATATTGCAGGGGTGAAAATCAAAACCAGTAATTATGAATAAAAAAAGTCAGTTATACAGAAGAAATAATAGATATATGAACAGCAAATACACAGGTACAATATGTTTGTACCTAACTACAGAATGTCCGCTGAGAGGTATAAGGAAATTTAAGGGATGATTCTACACAATGAAATCAGACAAGAATCAAAAATAATAAAATTGTCATTAAGAATTCCTTTCCTTAGTTACAAGTATCTAAAAATTAGGATCAAAACTGCCTGAAACTAGGCAACACAGATAACAGGCAAGCACATGGCTACTAAAGAAAGGAGCATACAGTCATCATAAGAATGTCAGCAGGCACCAGAAACATACCTCGTATAAAATGTGGGAAATTCGACTATATGTGTCGGTGCTACACGAATTTGGGTCACTTTGAAAATTTGTACGTAACATTACACCTACAGTGGGTAAAAAAAGTATACGCACACCCTTTAAATCAGAACAGCTTTTTCAAAATTGCACCAAGTGACTTGAGTTTTTTGTCTGAAGTTAGAAGAATTCGTGTATTAAATAATGTGTAAACAAAATTTTGAAAATATTGCAATTGGTCGGAATCGTGAAGAAAATTGTGAAGGTCACTTTTTTCAATTTTTTTCAAAATTTAAAACATACATTTCTTAGATTTATGTTAGTTATATGCATGCTGTTATGAGATACAAACGGTTAAAAATGTTGAAAATCGCAGTTTTTCGCGAATTTGATCTACAATTAAAGTAAATCTAAGGATTCTTACATCTTTCGATGCCCGTTGCTCATTTCTGTATTAACCGATTTCAATAAAAGTTCCATCACGTACATAACTAAAATAAACCTTCGAAATGTATTTATTAAATTTTCATTACAGTCTCAGACAACGAAGTTGTAAAAAATGACCTTTACTATTTTCTTCAACATTCCGACGAGTCACAAATTTTTCAAAATCTTTTTAACACATCATCTGGTAAACTAAGCTTTCTAACTTCACAAAGAAACTCAAGTTACTTGGTCCAATTTCAAAAAAGTTGTTTTGTTTTAAAGAATGTGCGAATACTTTTTTTACTCACTGTACCTACTCCATAAAATCCTCACGGGCCAGAATCCAAAAAATTCGTACTCACATAGCGTCACCAAATGATTTAAAAAATTCACAGCGAGTATGCATTAAAAAGTTTACTCATATAATGGTTTAGTAGAAAATTGATATACAGAATCAATCAATTTTTAACCAACTGTGGATTAGAAAAGTTAACACTTTCCTTTTTATTTATTCGTTTTTGAATATACAATAGTATTAATTAATGTTAATTTTATTAGTGTTTGATAATAAATCATTTCGAACTCAAATGTCCAAAAACTTCCGTTAATATTACTGCTTTAATTACTACAGAGGATTACCTTTTACTATGATATTCAACATACTTAATTCTGCTGTTTAGATTGGTTTATTGATTTTTGTCAATTATAATTCACACCTAACTGATGAACACTATTCACACTTTTAAATATAATACCATCTGAGTTTTAAATGACTTTTATTGTGCAACAGAAATACAAATAACATTACTTGGTACCGTTGTATTTTTGAAAAAGAATAAATGATATATGGTTCCATCAATGAAAAACGATTACTGTAAAACTGTCAATTACTGTGATTTATGTATGCATGTCCGACTAAGTAATGCCACTTTTAAAGTTGTTGTAAGTGATTTAACCCTTTATAAGGCAGTGGCAATCATGTTGCCATCAACGTTTTATTTTTTTTTCTGTTCACCTTATAAGTATTACATTTGCTCGAGAAACAGGTTATTTTACGAAAGTGAGACAAATCTAGCTCGGCTTTAGAAAGGGTTAAGGTTATATGGTTATCGTTACGACGAACACCCTACATGTCGATTGAATTCATAAATTCCATTTTACATGACAAATTTCTAATATGTAGCAATTAAAAATGAACTAAATAAATTTATGAAGTACAGATGACAAAAGATTTGGCCCTTTCAATTTATCTTTAAACTTCCCGCCACAGTGGTTGCTTGTATCCTTCTCCGTGTTTTCCTTTTCATTTTCTCGACGTTCCCGAATATCTTCACCGATTAGCATCCAGTTTCGTGTCGTCGTTGTTTTTCTGGCACGGGAAACCGGGGGAGAGACAGGATATACATGTATATAGTTGCGCGCGCTTGTGCAACGATTTTCTGCGCTTCGAATCGAGAGACCGTGTTCCGTTTGCTAGTCCGCGTTCGTCAATGCTACGTGGTGGTGGTCTTGTGCGCGTTTTTCCGAGCGTTCCACCGCGTGTTTCACCTCCTACAGGTGAGTACACACTATCACGCGTGTCCGTGTCGGAATTCAGGGAAGGCCAGCGCAGAATTTCACTGACTGGTTCAAGCTGGAAACTGGAAACTCAAGTCCCCGTTCGATTATATGCGTATGCTTTTTATCAACTTCGAGCGTTTCCAAGTTTTTATTGTACACAGAGTAAAGGAGGTGCGGGGCGAGGGAGGGGGAGAAAAATTACAAATATTTGTGTCAACTGTTTCTTTTTTTTTTTCATATGATAATTTATCCTATGAAGATGCAATCTTATGTTCATCGAGTATATGCGCCTCATTGCTAGATTAATGTTGGTTTTTATGAAAAATT